AATCACTCACTTTTTTCTTTCCATTTTTTCGTCATTTCTCTCTTCTCTCCAATTACTTTTCCCTTTCCTTTTATCTCTCAAGTTGAGATTGCGATGGGTCGGATCGAGTCGGGTTTTGCCAAACCCATACCCATGGGTTTATCCGTAAAAGAAACCCAGGGTAAAATCCACTGTGTTTGAAAAATTCAAACCCAACCCAACCCGCTGGGTACCCACGGGGGTTTGTTGTAAAAAATTTACAATAACAAATTCCTATAAAAATTAAAGTCAAATATCAATCTCTTAATACAAATTATCCATATATAAACCATCATTCTAGAAAATTCAAGCAAATCACAAATTAACTATACAAATTATTCAACACCAATCTAGAAAACTCAAGAAAATTGAAGCAAATCACAAATTAACCATAAATAACATGATAAACTGAAAGCTTCTTCCTCCTTGTCAATTAAGTTTCTTCACTCTCCACTCGATAACATCAACTTCATTCTACACAATTAGAAAGAAAAAATTAGACATGTCTCCACAAACATAAATAAGATTAGTTGTTTATAATATTAAATATACCGAGAAAATTAATTATATGGGTGTGGACGGGTATCCATGGGACGGGTTTACCTAAACCCAAACCCAATCCGGTGAATAATAAACAAATTTAAACCCGAACCCGACCCAAAACCCTTCAACACAGGTTTTACCCGCGTTGACCGAGTTGGGTCGGGTGAGTACCCGTGGGTTCGGGTTTTATTGCCATCCCTACTCTCAAGTGGACTCGGAGCCACTTCCATCAGCTTAATCGGCTGAGTCAGCTTGTGGAAAAAACTCAGAAAAGCTCACTTAAGTGAACCAAGAAGAGCCCACCACCTTCAACCCTTAGATCACAACTAGGCCCACGTGAAAAAGATGATGTAGACCGTGTAAGCAATGCAGTCAAAATCGCGCTTTAAAGCATAAAATCGTACGTTTCTACCTATCTAGACCACAAAAAACGCTTCAATTTCTACCTAAAGTCGCTTAGTACACAAAAACGTAAAAAAAACGTTGGTAAAATCGGTAAAAGTGTAAAAAAGCGGTAAAAACGCGTTTCCACTGCGTTTTTATACGATTCCATGCACGGTTCACAAATGCCTAATTATTTGTAAAACAATGCCGTTTTATGCTTACTGGTAAAAAAAAATGACGGTCGCTTGCCTTTAGCTATCATCGAGAGAGAAGGGAAAAGAACCCTAAATCGGTTTCTCTGTCTCAAACTCACTAGACGCTGCGCCCTCTACCTCACATCCTCACTCTCCTTCCATCTTCCCAGGTGGAACTCACCACGTCTCCGACCTGCCTTCGACGTACCTCTGTCTCCATTCTCCACCACCAGTCCAAACGTCATCGGTTCACCGCCACCGGCTACACCTTGCAAGGTAAGGAAGGCGATTGCCTCGTTCTAATATCTCTCTCCCCCAGATTTCTATTGTTTTGCAGGTCTTGCCTGCTAGAAAACTGGTATAGAGCTCACCAGGATGGAAGCCTCTTTAAGATTAGACTCAGATTAAGCGGCACTGGGGTGCGACATCTGCATCTTTAGTTGTAATTTGGTTACTTTGTCATGTTAGTTGTTATATTACATCTTCACCTACCTACTTGTGCTGGATTGATCTTAAGAAAACCAGAGTTTAGGGTCACTACTGCTTGCCACAAATATTGGAGTACTAATTAGGAGGCGGCAAATTCAGATAATTCAACTTATTCAGTTTGCCAAAACTACATACATCGTGAAATCTGATATACTGACTTAGGGAAGCAGTGAACAATGGATGTTTGATATATATGTAAGTAGGTGATATAAAATGATCTCGTAATGATTTCATACTGTGTTTTAGGTTGGTTTTCCAATTGCTCAAAAACATGGACGTGATTACTATTGAATGATTTTATATGCTTGAATGTGATAAAAGCAGTTGAATATTGTGACTTGTGATTTTGTTCTAATTTAGAATTTACACAAATTAGTCCATGGGCTGAATTACATTGTACACATGAATTGTAGGTAGTTATTCACTTATCTAAAATTTATATACTCATGCTTTATATATTATATATGTCATATATACTTGACAGATTTTTAGCTATTTTACAGGATGCATTAAAAACTTACGTTTTTACGCTTCGATTCTACGCTTTACGATTTTACCCATTCACCGTTTTTAGGTAGAATCGCGCTTTTGACTGCATTGCGTGTAAGTATATGCTTGTAAAAAACCTTGTAAGCATTTTAACTTTTTCGCCTACTGTGTCTCTCAATTGCCGCCGGCCTAGAAAACAGCCCCATTCTAGTCTACGGCGATGGTCGGTGGTTTTGCTTCGGAACTGACTTATGTCGCGTGAGGAAGAGGAGAGAAGAACTGTGGTGGAAGCGAAGGAATTGCGAGAGAAAGCTGGGTTCGACCCGATCCTGATCAAACAATGGTATGCTCTTATGTAATACCAAACAATACCACTATGGTATATTGATATTGACTGGTACTAAATTACTCAAAAAAAAAAATATTCCAAATATATATATCACAGTGGATATCATTTTGAGAACATAATTAATTTGATTTATCTATGCAAAAATGATTAAATTTTAACTTAAAACGAAAGAGATATAGCCTCTTAACCATGCATAACATGTCATATCACCATTTATGGTGGAAGACTTTAATATTTTCTCCTCTAATTTTTAATGGGATATATCTTTTTTGTTTTGAGTCATAATTTCTTTTTACAAAGATAAATAGCATTTTCAAAATGATATCCACTTTGATATATTTTTGGAATAAAAAATTCTGAGGCATTTAGTACTAGTCTATACCATGGTGGTATTGTTTGGTATTGCATAAGAGCATACACGTGGTATGAAAGTGTATCATGGTTGTATGAACATACCAGACTGTAGAATGGTTGAATACATGATAGTAGGAATATGCTAACTATCATTTACAACATTCAACATTATGTACCACAAGATACCACCCTTATATCAGGGCGGTATGAGGTGGTATACTTTGGTTCTGTATTTTTTCAACCAAAAATTTGTAGATCCAATTAATCATGATAAACTCGTTCCTTGTGTAAATTTTTTTCAAAATCGACTTAAAAATAAAAGAGATACAATATGGTATGGAGGTGGTAATGAGTGGTATGAGTACATAAAAGAATTATTGAAATATATTGAAAATTGATCTCATTTTCTAGAGCACAACGAACTCGTGTCATTTGTGCACAAAAAAATTGAAATACAAATTAGAATGAAAAAGATTAGAACCGATTAAAAGAATAAGAAAAATAAAAATGCATTAATTTCCACCCATTATATTTGAGGCCTACTTAAAATGACTAGCTCAGATTTAGTTATGTAAGGTTATGATGCACACCTTAATTGTAGGCATATCGGTGCCATTACTGCACCGCTTCCGTAAAATTATAGGAAAGGTTTTACATAGGTGTGGAAAACGCTGCGGTCCAAACTAGATCAAACCATATACATGGTTTGTGGTACACACTAAGAGGTAGAAACACACACCATGTACTAGACCATATACTATACGGTCCAGACCACGCCTGTAAGGTGCGGTCAGAACCAGGCATACCATATTCAAAAAAATTCAATTTTTTTCGTCCTCCACCCCTCCCTGGTATTTATAAAAATAAAAGTTTTAGTGACCAATATTCTAGTGAAACAAAAAATTAGTGATCGTAATTAAAATGGGAAGAAATATATTAGGGGATTAGTGAACTTTTTCAATTTTCTAACTCTCTCTCCAATCTGTAAGACTCTATCCCGTATCCATTAAAAAAACAAAGATCAATTACCCTTGTTTCCCTCTTCCTCATTGTGGTACCCAAGGCTGTCAAACCGGTTTATACCGTTGTGCTGGTTTGGCAAGTGGAATGGTACGACCGGTGGTATAACCAGTTTGTGCCGGTTCATGCCGGTTTAAAAAAATGTGAAAATAACTAATATCACATGTATTTAATTATATATAAAAACATATTTATGGACAATTTAGTTACAACCCAACAAATATCATCAACTTTTAACTATTACATTCATAAAATGAATAATAAATTAATTTTTTATTCATTAAACTCATTAAAATGATGTCATTTTACTTAGAATGCGTAAGTCGATCATACCGGTCATACCGGTGGTGTCATACCGGTTTCATGACCGGCACAGGTTGAACCAGGTTGAACCGGGTGGCATGCCACTGGCATGACAACCATGGTGCTACCACTTCTCTCTCTCTCTCTCTCTATCTATCTCTCTCTCTCTCTCTCTCTCTCTCCGAAAGGTTCTCGTGGTCGATCCCTGTCGGGATGACCTCGATGTCGTTTAGAACCACTAAGATGGTCGCTTATCTCTCAATAATTTTCCTTATCTCATCAAGGTGAATAAGCTGTTTCTAGTGTTTTGGTTTATCTACTTCATAGTCTAGACATTGTCAGTGAATATTATTTATGAATCTTTCTCGTTTTTGTGTGGTTCTTTGATAAGAAGATAACACATAAGCGATCATTTGGGCAATCTGTTAACTCTCAACTGAATGAATAATCAACTAACTTTGTTTTTCAAATGCAGAAATGGAGGTTTAATTTAGTGTTATTTTGGTATGAGTTAGTAGGTAGTATGTCACGGCCTGTCACGGTTTACTGCGGTAGACCACGATCCAGACTACTTCTGACCACACATTAAAAGAGGAGACCGTAAACCAGACTAAACCATAATTATGGTCTCACGGTTCAGACCAAACTATATGACACGATTTAGACCGCAGTTCCACATTTGCTTTGGTGTAGGTTTCCGGTCCTAGTTTTACAGGCTCCGGTCCTGTCTAGCTTGAAACCCAAAATCCAATGGAAGCAAAAGCCCAAGACCGTGCTTAGCTGTTCTTTCAGCCCATTAGTTTTCGCTTCGATAATTTTGATAACAGGCCCTTTAGCCCACTTTCGTTTTTCGTTCACTCTCTGCCTCTATTTTCTCCTTCTTCTTCGTCGGTCATCCAGGGAGCTTCCTCCGCCGATCTCGCTTATCGCGACGCCGCAGCTCCTCTTCATCCGTCAGGTTCCATCTTCGCTTTCCAATCTCATTTGTCTCAATGAGCGATGTTGAATTCAAGTTCGTTGTTCGGATGCGTTTGAATAATTGTGCTTTTCTCGGTTCGATCTGGTGCTTTTGTGTAGATAAAACCGTTTGAATTTTCCGTCCAGGAATGCCTCTGCCTGTTTTCTCGTGATCGATTTTTGATTTATGAGTCTTAGAAATCTGAATGAATTGCCATAATCTTGTCGTAGATTTCTCGGATCTGGAGCTCTGTGTTTAGGGTTTATCATCCTGAAATCTGATGCCATGATTAGATTGGTTGTGTTGTTTCTCATTCTCTTGTTGCTGTTCGTCCTGGCTTCTTGGGGCTTCATAAGCCCCAGGCTTGAAGAGAAAACTGATATTCGCCAGAGTGTTTATGGTTTAAAATTCGCATTCGAGTCTCAAAAATCGATTGCAGTTAGAAACTTAGGATGGCTTTTTTATATTTCTCTTTACGTTTCAATTTTTCCTTCTGCACAGCCTTAGCTCAGTTAGGCTTTATGGAACAGTTCCATTATTGAATTGTTCGATTTAGTTCATCTAAATTAGGCGAAGAGTTGTCAATGAAATAATGTTTTTTATGCTAGAATGTGTAATCATGTAGTTTGTATCATCAAGCTGTAACCATTTCATTAACTGGGACGTAGAGTACCTGTTATGTTTTACTGCAGTCAGTGTTTGTTGGTTGTGTAAGTATATGCTTGTAAAAAACCTTGTAAGCATTTTAACTTTTTCGCCTACTGTATCTCTCAATTGCCGCCGGCCTACAAAACAGCCCCATTCTAGTCTACGGCGATGGTCGGTGGTTTTGCTTCGGAACTGACTTATGTCGCGTGAGGAAGAGGAGAGAAGAACTGTGGCGGAAGCGAAGGAATTGCGAGAGAAAGCTGGGTTCGACCCGATCCTGACCTGATACCGACTCGGGTAGAAAGAAAGGAAAAGGCGCGAAGATCGAATTCGCTCGAAGGGCCGACGCTTCTCCCTCAGAATTTCAAATTTTCTCTTCCTTCAAAAGAAGCATTCAGCTTAATTTCAATGGTAAAAGAAATCTCCAATGGAGGAGCAGTCGCCATCGTCGAACCCGTCTTCCAAATTCCCTGGTGTTCTTCGTCCTCATCGCAAGCCACTCCTCAAGAGCGAGACCTATTTTTCTCTTGTTCGAATCTTATCACTCTGCGACGACCATCCTCATCTGTGGCAACTCGCTCCCAAGCTTCCCCCACAGGAGAAAAACCCTGGTACTGATATTCTAGCTGCTTTGGATTTTTGTTTCTTCATTATTGTTTGCTTTAGCTGAGATTTTGCCCGTTTTTTTCTTCTTTTTCGTTGTAGATAGCAATATTAGTAAAGTTGGGCGAGGGGATCGTGTTGAGCTGGGCAGTGTACATGGTGATACTCTAACAGAAAAAAGTCAGGCTCATGATCAGATTTTGGCATGTTTGATCTCGGAAAGTGGAGGGGTTGGTGAAACAAAGGCAGCGATTGAAGACCAAGGGTTTAGTAAAACAAAGCTAGCAGCAGTCCATGAGATAGAGAGTATAATGGGATTGGATGAAGATGAAGATCTGCTAATGCAGGATGGTTCCTTTATTCATAAGGTTATGGAGTTAGATCATGTAATGAAAATGGATAATACATTGTCAGTTGATGACTACCAGAGTGACGGCATTGTTGTGCGCAAAGAAGGATGTGTAGATATTCAACCAGTTAATGCGGAGGGAAGACTAGTGAGTGAACAGCAAGTTCAGGAAGAAGGGCACCCTCATGATGTATCTGATCCCTTGGGTTTGTTGTCAGGTGAGGGTGGGACTTTCGGAGCTTTGGCAGCAAGTTATCAGAATGGAGCTAAGTTGAAAAAGATTGATTTGGATAAGCCGATATGTGATAGTAGTACAATGGTTTCTCCTAATTGTGTGGTTGTGAATGGTGAGGTTGAAGAGGGAGGGATTGATGGGGAGTTAGTGGCGGGTGAGAGATTAAGTATTCTGCATTCGGAACATGCAGGAGTGTTACAGGGGGAAAAAGTAGATGAAAAGCAACTCGCTAATGAGGCTATTCCTGGAATGTTAAATGAAAAGAAGGTGGACGAGAAGCAACTAGCTAGTGATTCTATTGCTGGAAGTAGGAGACAAACATCCACAAAAACTACTACTATGAGAAATCAATCTCTTTCTCGCGAGATAAATGAGACAACCAAGGATACTTTTTGTTCCACTTCCTTGGATAGAGTTCAAAATGTTGATCTTGGTAAAGGAACGGGAAACAAACACGAGGTTGGTAAGTTGATGCTGCCTAATCGCAAAACTGTTGTGTACGATGATCTTTTATTTGATGAAGGCCCAAAGATGTGGGAGAATGAAGATTTGTGTAGCGACAAGGGACCGAAGAACAAATCTAAAATTGCTGAAAGAAAGAAAAATGGCAGAGGCAGAGAAGTAGGGGAAGTTAAATGCAAACATCTCAAAATGAGTGTTGCTAAGAGTGATGTCAGACCGGCTGAGCCTTTTCCTAGTAGCCTCGCACTTCCTTTGGGAACATCAAGTCAGGATCTAACAGGAAGCCAAGGAGCTGCCTCTCAAGAGAAGGTATGTTTTATGCATAGTGTAGACATATATTGACTGTTATCTTGGTGTTTGTGACCTATTGATATGAAGAGAATTAATTTTTTTTGCACGGATGAGGATTTTGTCACCTGCTTATTCAGAAATAGGACATATAAGTGAAATGTTTCTGGTTTGTTTAACTGGTAGAAGTGACTGACCCGTGCAATGATCGTCTAATTGTTTGCTTACTTCCTTTCTTTTCTGCACACGCATTTTTCAGGTTTGTTAATTGTTTTTTCATCTTCCAATTATGTGTACACTCTGAGCCCGTGTATTTACTGTTTCTTCTAAATGCTGCAGGATGCAAGTCCAAGCAAGAACAAAAAGAGGGGCCCTCCCAGTGACTCACAAAAGCTAAAGAGAAAGGTCCATAGTTTATACTCTTTAGTCTTTGCTAACCTTGGTGTTCAGTTTATCTTTATCCGCTTGTTAGGTTTACTTATGTTTGCTCAAACTCGTTCATACTATTGTTTCCACGTATATTGTTTGTTATCATTTGCTGAATTGAAATGGGCAAGATAACATGTACAGTATTTGTAGTTATTTCTAAAGGAGCATTGAAATCCAGACTAGGTGGTCTCCTGTCTTGTCCTGTGATAGTTCTATCTTTCCATGCTTGATTATTATGGTCGTTATAACTGGTTGTTATTGGATATTTTGCTTACAGCAAAACAAAAGAAAGAAACGAGCAGAAAAAAACAAAGAACTTGGCGTCAAACGGCTCAAACTACAACCATTTGTCAAGCAAAAGCCTGTAGAAATTTGCCGCCACTACATGCTGGGAAAATGCTGGGAGGTGAATTTTTCATGCATGCTTTACTCTTCTTTCATATCATAGTACTCCTGTTACTGACTAGTCTTTGTTCCATCTTATACAGAGTGAGAAATGCAAATTTTCACATGATGCAATACCCTTGACGAAATCTGAGGTATCCTCTTTGGTTCAGTACCCTTCTTATCTAGTAATTTGTGACAAAAGCTTTCTTTTCCTGATTTATTTATATCTTCTTCTGGAGGTTCTTGTTTATTGTGTAGTATGAATTAGATAGCCCTGAAAACAAAGAAGCCAAGTCATGGCAACATAGGAAAGGTCCCCATTGATGTAAGACCGACGTAGATACAATCTTCCTGTTCTATACCATGATTGATGGTGAATGCTTGAATATTTGTTGCTGAAAATGAAGATTTAATTGTTTGTGGTCCATGGCAGCATCGGTCTCTCACCTAGAAATGGATCATTTACTGTTGGCATCTCATAGGTCATTTGCACTGATTTTGATAGTAAATGAAATGAAACCCTGTGTTACTAACGCTAGGAAAGTACTGCTGACCCTATAATCAAGAGTTTTATGGTGGCAGTATCATTCATAAAAGAAAAAAAATACAAAAATTTAATGGTGATGTTACTAAGTACCAACTTATGTAAAATTGAAGTAAAAAAAGGACTTCACAAAGACCACCTAATCCCACTTGGCCCCCAACCTTCTCCTTCTGGTTGAGGCCAAATGCTGTGTATATTTTATGGGTTGCTAAGCATCTCTGGTTTGTATATTCTTGTGCTGCAGCCGTGCAAGTTTTTTGTCCGTGGCGCATGCATGAAGGGAGATGATTGTCTACGTGACCATGAACTCTCCAAATATCCCTGTGACAATTTTAAGTCAACAGGTTATTGTAGCAGAGGCCAAAAATGCCTGTTTTCACATAAGGTACCTACCCCTTTAGATATTTGATGTTTTACTATTTCGGCATACCTTTGGTTGAAGCTGTTTAGTATTGGTATCAGAGGTTATATCTTATAAATTGGTTTGCTTTAATGGTCTGTTCAAAATGGGTTTGCGGATTCATGGTTTAGGTTAAAGGAATTTGGTTCTGATAGGTTTGGGTTAGATGGATTTGTCTGAGATGAATTTTCAGTGAACTGGGTTGGGTTGGTGTTTGTCATCTCTTATTATCAAGAACTAACTCTTGAAATTGATAACAATATTTTGCAGTTGCTGCCAAATGGGGATGTGTCAACTGCTTCCAGTGTCAACCCAAACTCTTCAGTCCTTACACGAACTGTCGATTCCAAGAAAAAGTTGGATATGGTTGCCCACTTACATCAGAGTGGCGGAACTGCAACTGTGCCAACTGTTGTTTTTTCCACAAAGATCGAAGAAGCTCCAGGAAAAACTGTATTTAATGAACCTGTCATAGTGCCTACTTTCAAACTATCATTAGGTGGCTCCAGTCATACAGATCAACCTTCACCTGGTACAATTGGCGATTTGAACTCTGCTTTGAAGGTAACTCCGCAAGCTGTTAGACCGAAGGGAATTAACTTCCTCTCATTTGGTAAATCTCCTTTGGAATTCTCTGCTGCTAAGAAGTCGAGTGTATCCCCAGTGACGCTAGATGATGCTTCCAAGGCACCTTTATTGAACAAATCCAGTCTGCTTCAGCAAAATCCAGGAGTGAAACCTGGGATGAACGACATGGCACAGAAAAGTGATCACATAGCAGCATCAGGAATAGTAAACCCTTTCTCTCTTGGGGCAACTTCAGCAGTTGATGGGAATAGATATGTACAATGTCATTTACCTTCTAGTTCAGGCCATGATGTTGCTAGTACTGGTCAAGGAAGTAACATTGCTTTGGATAAAAATCAGAGCTTGAGTGCAGTCCCGCCTGGACTAGCTTCTTCTCCATTTGGTTCAGGTCAATCTTCGGATCATATAGCACTATTGCAGTTGAAGAATGTACCAAAGTCTACTCAGGAAGCAGTGATGTCAACAATGAGCTTTGCATCTAAGCTCGAATCTGCAATGAAGAAGAAGCAAAAGGAGACTGGATTTGGTAGTATGTCATGAAGCTCACAGGATCAGCACAAAGCAGCCAAATTGTTGGATCCTGTATCTCGTCTCGGCCACAAGAGCAGTGAATAAACATCTGCCGTAGTCATCCCAGGTTTGATGAGTGGTTATCTATGGGCGGTTTTCTGAAGCATTCAAGTGCGGGCATAAAGGAGAAAAAGGTGGTGCCTGATCTGTGAACTTGACAGCAGGTTTTATCTATTTTCAGAGCTCTATGACGTTTTAGTAACACTATGCTTGCTATTTAGCTTTCTTTCAGTTTTCGGCTTGTATGGAAGGAAGGAAGGAGAGTCTTTGTTCTGTGGTAATGGCTAATAGATGTCTCTTACATTCCGCTTGGTCATCATTGTTTTTGCAGGGAGGAGACTGAGCTAAATTTATGTCTATGTTTACCAGAAGTTGGACGCCGAAAGTCCTCGTATGCAGAAATCTTAGATACGTATGTATAACAGATTTTATACAAGCGATGAGTTGTATTTCTTCTCTTTCAGAATGAAGTTGGTGTCTCTCCCTCGCAACAGGGATTTTGACTTTTCATCTGTTTATTCCGCAGGCAACGATATGCAGTTTCTTGGGTATCTATTGAAGTAGATGGTATTCCTGGCCCCTCTTATTTTTATATGACTTATGAACTCTTTTTTTCCGGGGCATATATTGATTTATATAGTGAAAATGCATGTATCTTGGAACTTAGAAGAGTGGCAATACCTTATTGGATCTGCAGCTAAATGGTCAACCTATGTACATACTCATTTATGAGTTGCTCCATTGTCAGGAAAATGCAATTAATTAGTCGTATATATTCGTTAGTTGAACAACCTTTGCTAACACCATTCAAATACTCCCTTTTTTTTCTAATCAACACATGTAACCCTAGTCTCGTGCTGTCATGCACCAACATATATCAGTAGTATTAGGTTCCAGACCCGACCTTGTGATATTTTGTGCTTCCGTTTCTTTTCCTTTTCTTAAATCTCCAATATTGTTAACGTTACGTAAGTATGTATATTGCTCCCTCCAGCTCTCTATTCGTTACAACAAACCACAGATTTGTTTATCATGTGTTCGATATGATTTTCAAAGGGTTAAGGTATAATATGTCATTTCATTATGTAGTTTTATCAAATATGATCCTCTATTATTTTTGATTTCTTACATCAAACATGTTACTGTATTTTGGTAAAATGATCAAACATTATGTCCTTTAGTTAAAATTTCCATTTCAAAATCATCAACGATGGTTGAATCGAGATTTAGATAACTCAAAATGTCAGTTTTGTTCCTTGATTTATTTTTCCAGGTAGTGAAATTATTACATATATTTGGTTATACAAAAAAAACAAAAAAATTCTAAAGTGAAATTATTAGGAATATTTTAGATATTTGTGTCTCTCAAACCAAGGTTTGACTCTGGTTGACTGCTTTTGGATGCAAATTTTGACAGAAGAGCGTATTTGATCATTTTTCAAAGTAGAGTGACATGTTTGGTAAAACAATATAATAGAGGGGCATGATGTTATAGATACAAATATAGCCCACTTTCAAAACAGGTATCTTGATTATCATTACATTTTTGTCATAACATATTCGCACGAATAGACACGTGTAAGATTCAAATCAAGTTACACCATAAATTTAATATTTCTACTTCTGAGTTAATAGCTAACCTCATTACTGAGTAGCTTTCTTTCAATCAATCATGAATTTATTAGGGGATTAATATCTACTGCAGACCCACTCTCAATATATGAATCCGCAACCAATTTTAGGTTGTTACAATGGAGCAATTGTATTGAAGGGTTAGTGTCACGGCAGTACTCTTTTGTTTGTAAATTTTGTTTACTTGCTAGAATTTTATACGTAACTAAAGAGCCATTTTACCTTGGTTCAACTTTGAGAAACTTGGTAAGCTTTTTTTTTGTTTAGCTACCACCAAAGGCTCCTCCATAGAATTCAAATAAAATATACTCGATATTAATAATAAATAATAATGTAATCACTTGATATAGATGACGACTTGGATTCCATGTCTCTATATATAGATGCCAACCTAGCTTGCCTCATTTCCCAAAAGAGGCTCACAAGCACAACAGAGCCCTCTGAACAAAACAGAGCAAAAGAGAAGAATCAAACAAAAGAGAAGAAGGCAGGCAGCCATGACGACGACGACGACCAAGGAGGGACAGAATAAGGTGCCGGAGGTCTCGGTTCCAGTCACGCCGGCGGGAGAGGACGGCAGTGCAGTAGTGGCCGCCGGGAAGGCGTCAGCTGGTGGTAGTGGGCCGTTGGGGCGGCGGAGATCCGACTTGATGCAGGGGACGCTCCGGCTGCTGTGCTTGGTGACGTCACTGACGGCGGTGGGATTCATGGTGTCGGCTCGGCAGTCGGGCTCCGTCTCCATCTACGGCTTCATGCTCCCGGTCAATTCCAAGTGGTCCTTCTCTCACTCCTTCCAGTAAGTAGCTACCCTCTCCCTCTTCCATCTGCCTTGCTCTGTTTTACTCTGTTTTCCCCTGTTTCCGTTTCCATTTCCATTTCCATTTCGTCCTCTGTATTATTTTATCGGCAACCAAACAAACTGGAATCCCGCTCCTTCATGGCTTTGTCGTGTTGTGGCGGTACGAAATGTGTGCCAAGGAAGAACGAACGAACGAACGAATGTTACCTACTCGGTGGAGGTGTTTTCGCAGTGACCAAACTGCCCTTTTTCCAGAGCTCTGTGGGTGGCATACTAACTCTGCCCAGAGAAAGCCGTTTCATCGTCATGCATATTATATTATATTATATTATATTATATTATATTGTTTGGTGAGTAACAACAAAATGGGAATTGCATGTTTTTCTATTATTGAACAGAGAAACAGGCCCGTGACCCTCAAAAGCCGAAGCCTTTTAGAATTTAGATTCTCACACTTATTCTCGAGGAATGAATGATTGATTGATGAGTTAATGGACTGACTTTTGACACCCAAATCCGGCCCGGGTAAACTTTTTCTTGTTACCTGCAGAGCGTTTTTGTTTTGGAGTGACAGACAGGCCCGGGTAAACAACCATTCAATTTTAGCGCAAATATTATAGTCCATGAGCGGGTTACGATGATCAGGTTATAAGTGACTCGTATTTATACAAGTACAAGACGAACAAGTTTGAATCATATTTCGATGTTTTTGTATTAGATTTCTCGTCAGTTGAATTATGAATCAATCAAGTTGCTAGCTACTTAGAGAATTATTGCTCAATTTGATTTACTAGATAGTAAGCTACGGGTTTGCAGAACACAAAATATTTATATGAACACGAATTGTGAACAAAGATGAGATAAATCGGTCGAACAAGATGTTGGCTTTGATGAAATTGGCAGAAAATTAACACCTAAAATGAGTTGACATATATAAGTGGTGTGAACCTGAGATTCGTTGCATCCATTTACCAAAAAAAATTTGGTCCGTACTGGAACAAACTGATGCTTGAACCGGATCATATGAAACTGAATATAATGTAGTATGCTTTTTGCTCCCATAAATTTTATGAATACAGAATAAAAATGAACAAAATTTGCATTTGAACAAGATCAAGTCGTACCAAATACGTTGTTGGTCCAGCCTTTGATCCTAAAATATCTTTCAATATTGGATCGCAAATCTCATGAATTTGGTCCAATTCAATTCGGAAGAGACCAAAATTCATACTGAATTTGTTCGGAAACCTCTTTCCGTAACAAATACAAGTTTTTTCCTGTCTAAATAGCTTGATTGATTGCGATTTGGTTTGTGTGTGTAATCCTTGTGGCTGTGCAGGTACCTGGTGGGCGTAACTGCAGTCTGCGCGGCTCACTCGCTCCTCCAGCTCGCAATCAGCTCCACTAGGCTCATCAAGAACACCCCCATCATCCAGTCTCGAACCCACGCCTGGCTGCTCTTCGCCGTCGATCAGGCGCTCGCCTACGCGGTGGTGAGCGGCGGCGCGGCTTCTGCGGGAGTGAGCAACCTGAACAAGACAGGGATACGGCACACGGTGCTGCCCAACTTCTGCAAGCCGCTACAGAGCTTCTGCGACCACGTCGCCGTTTCGATCGGGTTCGCCTTCTTCACCTTCTGCTTGCTGGCTGCCTCTGCTGTTCAGCAAGTCGTCTGGCTCTCTAATAATCCCGCCAAGAACTATTGATTAAGGCTGCACGTATTGGGTCAGTTGATTAGCAGCTATATATCTTTCTTCTGCCTAGCTAGCTAGCTAGCTAGCATTTGGGACTAATGGAGTAAGTTTGGGTTGATTAGTGGTTGGTTGCTTTGGCGTTTGGACGCGCTTTGGTGGTGTTAAGTTGATCGTCTGTTGCATATATAAATCTATCGATCGAGAACATGCATGTGTTGGTCAGTGGGTTGTGGGAATGAAAAAGCTTCTTGATAATTAACCAGTTTGATGATGTTCCAACTTCCCATCCTCTGCTTACGTGTACAAGAAGCTGGAGCTCAATGTGTCCAAGTACATACTAATATAAGTATATTGGTTACGATTTCGAAAGATCTATATAATCTTTCTAGAAATGAAAACTAACTTTTTACCGGCCGACTATCTTATTATTTTTATAACTAGCTTAAACCTTGCTAGCTGTGGCTTCGCGTGTGAACGTGAACATGATATTTTAAATATTAATAATTTCAATTTTGATCCAAAAGTAAAGGACTTTTCATCTACAACTTCATTTAGTTGACGCAACGATAAACTTTAATAAGCGAGCAAAGTCATCGAGTAAATGATTTCTATTTAAATCTTTCTCGTAACTCAATTGATTAGTTTGTATTCTTCTTTTTTTTTTCAATTCCATTCTCCACCAAAAAGAAAAAAGGTACTAAAGCGGATAAAACTCGCTCATGGCTCAAAACTCGGCAACATCATGTTCAACTCTTTTTTATCTGGTTTAAACGAGTTTGTAACAAATTCACAACCGAGCCTACCAGACAATTAAAAAAACGTATAAAAATCACACCCACTTGAGAAATTAACAAACAATAAAGTGGATAAAACTCGGTCACGACCCAAAACTTGGCAACATCATGTTCAACTCTCTTATATATGATTGAACCGAGTATGTAACAAATTCACACCCAACTGACCCGCCAATTACAAAGCGAATAAAACTCACGCCTTCATGAAAGCATGTAAACATCGGGTTTAAATCAGTTGTGCGCTAAAGTGTGTGCTAAAGGAGGCACTTCATCCAAATCATCACATCTCGCAAGTTTATATCCTTTTGTTCGGTGCATGACTTCAATAATCTTTTTTGTTTTGCAGGTGACTATTCTAAACGAGGATCTGGGGGTTGTTATCCCGATGCTCGTGTCCCAGTCTATCATCCATATAGAGGATACACACATGGAGACTATTTGCATTATAGTTCGCGTATTAAGTTGAACAAAAAAAATTAAAGTATGGTAGAATTTTGACATGAACTTCTGGTTTACGATGATGACAATGGCAAGCTAGTGGTGGCGTGGGAGGCTCCGAATTGTCTTAGTTCTAGTCTCGAATTCTACTTATTCATTGATGTCGAATAACCAGTCTTCTTTCTTAATCCTAATGATACTGTGCTTGTAAATGTGTCTGGTAATTTTATGGGAACTTGCGGAATCCACAAGCTCTAGCACTCATTAAGCAGTCTATTAAGGATGGTACTTTGTCTATGGGTTACTCGCGAATACTCGTTATTCATCTCGTACGGGTAATGGGTACCCGTTAATTCGTACGGGTTTGAAATATGTGATGGAGTTTCCTCTTCAAATGGGACTGGGTACCTATTTCAAATGGGACAGGTACTGCCCACCCCTATGTGGCTCGATCATGGGGCCTGAGATTCTTGTACCACAGAGACGGCGGCGATAAAAATGGTCAAATCACTGGATCTGTCGCTGCACATTCGCTCGCAGTTTTGTTGTTCTTGTACCATTGTCATCTCTTGCGAAAGCCCAATGCTATGTTACAACTCACAAGCAGTGATGTCAATTAAACTCATGGCCGTGGATAGCCTCCCTCCCCCCCCCTCCTCCCGGGACCTAGTCAACGCGAGGAATCTTCGCATTGATTGTGTATCGGGCGGGTATGGGTAAAACCTACAAAATGTATGATGGGTATGTCAGGTATGGTTTTAGCATCCCCGACCCATACCCATACCCGCTCCACCAAGATCATTTTTTCACATATAAAAAATTCTTTGATAAAATTGTAACCGTCAATGATAGTGAGGGTAAACTGGAAAAAATAGTAGAAATGCAATTGTGTGGCCACCCAAATCAAAATCTAATTCATTTTCCTCAACTCTCCTTTCACTCTTCCACTTTTTCTCTGGTGCCAACAAGATTATGTTTGTTAGTTATTACTTAGTAGATGTATTAGAGTAAGAGAATGATAATTTGGATCACATTGTACTCTATCTTGTGGAGTAATGTATGTTTTAGTATAAGATGCTTTCAACCGTATTAAGAATTATTGCCTCTTTATCGATTTCATGATATAGTAGGTGCGTTTAACATTATAAATGAAAATTTTACAGGTAAAATTTTATGTATTTATGATGTTGGAAGTACGGAGCGAGTATTATCCATGGATACCTGAAACCAACAATATAAGAATGGGTTTGCAAAACTTTTCCCGCATGGGTATGAGGCGGGTATAAATTTGGATATTTGAAATCGACAAACCCCCCAAACCCGCCCATTGCCATCCCTACTCACAACTGGCATGTGCCTTGGCCGCTGGTAGAGGTGGCAATTCTCAATCCAATTCACTAATCCAATCCACCAACCCATTAAAAATATCCACCTAATCCAATCCATTTAAATCCAATCCATTTGATCCAAATCCAATTGGATAGGTGGATTCATGGATTGATCAATGGATCAAAATGATAAATTACGGTTTGATCCAAATCCAATTGGATAGGTGGATTCATGGATTGATCAATGGATCAAAATGATAAATTACGGTTTGATCCAAATCCAATTGGATAGGTGGATTCATGGATTGATCAATGGATCAAAATGATAAATTAAGTTTGGTACCTATACTTTTTATATTTTACATTTTGATACCCAAAATTTAATTTTTTATACGAAAGATATCATTGGTACCTACAATTTTTCATTATGACATTTTAGTACCTAAACTTTTCACATTTTACATATTGGTCCTTGGTTGAGGATGTCATTTGGGTTCATGGATAATTCATCAATCCACTTGATCCAATTCATTGGATCCAATCCATTTGGTTCATGAATCCACCAATCTATGGATCAATCCATTTGCGACGCTGGTCTTATGTCGATCAAACGGTTGGTCTTCAAGTAAGCGAACTGGGCTTTTATTCTTTTTCGTTAGTGGGTTTGCTTGACGAGTGGGCTTTCATGGCTAAATGGGCTCACCCCATTAGGACCCAACACATCATTCGGTCTCTGTCTCTCTATCTCCCATGCGACAAGTCCGGAGGAATTTCCCAAAACCGATCCATCCGAACGCGGTAATATCGCTGAGCGATAAAAAGGAGGAGAAACTTTGTGATTAGTTAGATCTAGAAAACGAGGATTGGGATGAGCAGAGGAGAGGTGCGAGCGTGGGGCGATTTGTGTCCAGATCTGTTGAAATCTATCTACGGCAACCTCCATCTGGTCCACGCCATCGAATTTGGATCAGTATGCAAGACCTGGCATCAAATCCACGCAGCAGCAGCAGCGCTGTCCCATCCCCAACCACGACCGCCGCCGCCGCCGCCCCATGGAGGTGTCTCGTGCAAAGATATCCCGTGCTGGGAGACTCGCGAGATGTTGCTCCGGGAACAGGCACATGTGGTTTACAGCTGGCCCAGCGGGTGGTGGCTTCTGACCTCCGGCGACCTTAACATCATCGCCTGCTTTAATCCCTTGTTGCCCTGGCCCTCCAGTTATATCCCTCTTCCCCAAACCTTTCTCGGACAGAAGGTCTTCTTCCAAGACAACAACCCCCCGGTATGGCCAATTACAGCAGCCTTCTCTGGGGATCCAATTAAGGAGGAGGACTGGACCATGATCCTCTTCCATAACGTCAGCTGTTTCTACACGTACCGCCGCAGCGAGGGTCGGTGGTGGTCCTACCATTACAAACACTTGGAAGTTCGGGATTGCGTGGGGATTGGGCATAGGGACCAAACTTTTTTTTCTCTGTTCAACACCGGAGACGTCTTGGTGCTCAGAACTGACAATCCTGGCTACAAGCAGCACTGCAAGTGGATGATGATGTTAGCAACTGATACTTCCGATCCGCCCGAAAATCTACTGCCACTGTGGGGGGATTGTCTCCGTGTGGTGCTCGTATCTGATGGGGAACTTGATGATCGGGTGGTGGTCAGACTCAGTTGGGGGCGGACAGATGCCTCCAGCTTCCGGCTGCTTAGTGTGGACAGAGATTTTAACAATCGCGGCGGCGACGAGGGGGATGAAACCAGTACTATTGTTGCAGTTGGAGGAAGGTGGATACAGGGGTTCGCTCCTGAGGATATGTGGCTACCGGAAACCCGTTTGAAGAAGGTACAAGGGCGGGCTACTAGGCCGGCAGAGGAGGAATTGGTTAAGAGAAGCCATTCACCTAAAGGTTCAATCTTTAGGGTACTTAGCCGATGGTGTGCACGTATTTGTGCGGTCAGAGATCAGCATTAGACTAGATCAGAGCAGTGAATTTCTCTATCTGCCGCACTGTTTTATTCAAGTTTGTTTTGTTTTGTTTCGGGAAGTCACAAGCTTATGGTTTTCAGTTTTAGGGCAAACCATTAAAGATATGTTTAAGGTCGATGCTCTACAAAACGAGACGTGAAGGCTCCGACGTGCATGTTTAATTACGAGCATGCCCAGTACCATTACCACCGTCACCACACCCAAGACGAGACGTGAAGGCTCCGAGCGCTGCCGCTGATTCTACAACGTGGCTTCTAAAATATTGTGAATGCGGAAAGATAAATGCAGACTTTGATCTTCCATAGAAAACAACACGGGAAGGTGAAAGTGGGGAAACACACGAACTGTAAGATAACAGGGGAAGGCATAGACCAAAAGAAAACAGCTGCAATACTACTACCTAGCTACTTTAGCCCACCACCAAGAATCCTCGCTCAACCGTTGTGCTGCTCAGCTCTGTGAACTTCAACCTCGCCTGCTCCCTCTCGAAGCAGTACGGGCACAGGTTTGGGTGGGTCCGACGATGGGCTCCGTCCCGGTGACTCCTCTTCTGATTCAGCGAGCTTGACATCTTCTTGCTCACAACACCTCCCCCACCCCATCCTCCCTTGCTTGTTCCATCGATGGAGAATCAGAACCGGGACGACCAAGCTCAGCAACCGGCACCACAGTCACGACCACCGGCGAATATTCCCTGCAACCAATGTCCGAAGATGCAGGACATTGGTTGCAATATCCTACATTTTCGGACATTGGTTGCAGGGTATATTCGTCGGTGGTCGT